AAAAAATAAAATAAAATAAAAGGTAAGCCCTTTGGGGTGTAGCCTCTAAAAATATTAGGGAGTAGCAAATGTCCAAGTTTCCTTCTTGTTGTATCAAGACAACCAGCTGTTATAAACTGTGTTGTTTTTTGTTTTCATTTAAATTTTCATTCTCTAATACAGAAAAAGTCAAATGAAATATTTTATCTAGGAATGTTGTAAGCTAATTTTGCTGGGGATTTTTATTTTCTGGTATTAGAGATTGAATTTAGCCCTTTTAAACAATTGAACAATTGGACACTAGGTCTTGCTAAGTCACTAAGTTGCCCAGGATGGTCTCTGAGTTGTGTACGCTGGGCTTTGTCTTGTGTTCCTCCTGGGCCTCAGCCTCCCAGAGTCCTGAGATTGATTATAGGTATGTGCCACTATGCCCAACTTGTTCAGGATTCTATTAGGTGATTATTTTGAAATTAAAAAAAAATATTTTCACAAGCTACTAGATATCTGAAAAGATAAGGGTGGGCATAGAAAACAAACTTGATCTCTGCTATCATCTAGTGCTGTACATCCTGGAGCCGAAGGTCATGGTGGCCTCAGAACAGGAAGCCATACAAGGTATGGCCCAGATGTAGTGGAAAGGGCCACCCCTTTGGGGACAGAGAGCTGGGGGTTTGATCTATGGCTGTACCACTATTAGTTTGGTGACACTAGGTGCAGAGTGCCTACCTAGTCAATGCCAGTCCTTTTGTCTGGAACCTGTGGTGCTCCGGATAGTAGAAGATTAAATGAAGCAAGCACTATACCATAACTCCCCAGGATCTGGAGTGTCTTCTGGCTCCCTTTCTTCTGACCACAGCCTAGGACGGGTCGTTTCCCAAGCACGCTAATAGATTACTGCGGTTGGCAGCCACCCTGGAGGGCATCTAAAACCCATTGCTTTCCAGGGTGCGATGTTTAGGCCAAGAAAGGGTCAGGACTCCCTGGAGGTGCCTTAGAATAGGACTAGCAGTGCTACTGCTAAACCCATGTCTCCCCAAGAATTCCTGAGGATGAGAAGCAGCGAATTTCTGCAGTGGGTCCCTGGGAGAGTCGGGTACAGTGACAGTTTAATAAACACTTTTGCAAATGTCTTTCTAGAAGCCTTTGTAGAAGACAGAAATGTTTACTGAATGAAGTCTTATCCTACTATGTAGTCATCCTAATTACTCTTACAATGCTTGACTCAGTTTCCCTTTCTCCCCCATTACTCTCAGGTGACCTGACCGCAGAAGCAGTAAGTCTCAGCGTGTTCAGGTAAGAGACTTTGGGATGGGGAAGACTTCAGAGAGAGAACCACAGTGCTTTTGCTTGGGGCTCCCTCTTGCCCTCTTCCCAGGGCTGCCCCAGTCTGGTGCTTAGGAATCCTTTTTGCTTTTTTTAAAAAAATTCTTGTCTGTGATTGTTTTGGTCATATTTTTGGTTTTACTCTTATGAATTCATGCAGGCACACTGTGACAATGTGTGCGGCATGCTGAACCCTAACTTCCGGAGGAGGTTCACCACTGAGGAGGGTGACTGGGGTGTGTGGCCTGCGGCAGTTCTCTTGCAGTGTGTTAACATTTTCCCCAAATGCATATCTCTTAAAGATGAGGACATGTTGGTTTTTAAAGCCATAAAGGCAACAGCATTTCACACTTTAAGCAGTGGTTCAGGGAAAGTCCTTCATACTGACTGTTTAATTTTCCAGTGGTACCTAGAGGTATGATGAGAATGAGTTTTCTCTCTGGTGTTTCCAATATTTGGAAGTGCCGGAGGTTGAATCCAGAACACATTCTCCAAAAGATCTTGGGACTGGCAGCTTCAAGATCACAAGCAAACTACCGTGCAGCGATGGCAATCACCAGACCTACGCCAGGGCCCACAGAGCCAGGGGTTCTGAGAGTGGGGGGTACGAATCTACCTTCCAGGTGATTCTAAAGCACACACTGCTGGAAGCAGGGTCGTGTGCTTCCCACACATCCTGTTTTGCATCTGTCCTTGTGTTTTACATCACAGCTCATGCTGAGGCGTTTGGAATATGTAGGATGCTGTGTGCACATCTGTGGTAGGTAGGGTCTGGCTTTCATTGCCCTCCAACGTCTGAAGATGCCAGTGTCCATGTCCCACCATGGAGAGCTGCAGGCTCAACCTGCCTCTGCATCGGGCAGGGGACGTGAATGTGGTGACCCTGACTTTCTGGGAAGAGCAGATTGAGTGAAATTTAATGTCAGGGTGATTTGATAGGGAAATTAGTTGCTATTTATTTATTTATTTATATGTATTTGGTGCAGGGTCTCACTATGCAGCTCAAACTCATAGTGATCCTGCTGTTTTCAGCCTCCCCAGTGCTGGAATTACAGGCATGTGCTACCATGCCCAGTCTCGGTGACCAGCTCAGCATAGCTAGGGGTGGGGCCAGAGTGGCATTTGGTGCCAGAGATCGAACCGAAGTCCCTGCACTTGCCTAAGCAAGCAGACCTTAAGCTTTCTTGTCAACCCCATTAGCTGCTTTTTAAAAATAGCATACTTTTAAAGTTATAGCTCTGGGCCTCTTGTTGAACACTGGGATCCCTGATGAATTTGATTGACAATTTGACCCCAGGAGATTCTGGTGTTCATCGTACTGGTGAGAGTTGGGGTGGGGTCTTAGTATCCGAAGGGCTTAGGATCCCTCGTGGCAGATGTGGCTCAAAAACCTCTGGTCAAGACTTGCATTTGGTCTGGGCTTTGGTTGGGAAAAGCGATGCAAACATCTTGCCGTCCTGCATCTCATGGGTCTCACCCTGCAAAGGAGAACATGCTTTGAAGACTCTTCAAGTCCTTCAGCCATTAGTGAACTTATCTGGGGGAGATGTTCTGCCCTGTGTAGCTGTTCTTTGTTCATTGTTCCTTGTTCTGGGTTGAGCTGGTGCTGAAGCTTTTTCACAGTAGGTCTGCCGGTTGGCATTTGTCTCCTTACCTGTGGGTGTGCTGGGAAGAATACAGATTTCTGCATGCGAATGACACTGCCTCTCTCCTGGTGCTGTCTTTCCTTCAGTGGGTCTGGCTCCAGGACAGGAAGTGGGGAGCTGGTGTTGCATTTTGCAGGGTGAGGCGTGTGGATATTTCTGAGACTCTCGTTGGGTCTAGAGCCTTCCTTGCAGTCTTCAGAGTCATGGAAAGGAGAGGTTGAGTTGCATCTGTTCTTCGAGCCTTGAAGTAGTCCACGGAAAAAGGAAAGGGAAGGGAGTTCTGCTGATTTTCTTGGCAGGGTTTATCACCTCTCTCCCCCAGGTTTCTGGTGGTTAGAGACTGACCTGCAGGACCCGCGCATATTGGCTTCCCGAGACCGTTTCTGCTTTCTTGCTGTGCCTAGCTGTAGTTCCTTTGCTATCTCTCCAAAGTGTTATCCAAGAGTCACAGAACTCATGAGAAATCAGCAGCATGGATTCTTCGGTCCTTTCCTTTCGAAGGATTAGCCAGATGCAAATCTGAGTTGCACTTGGGAGGCTCCATGGGCCTCACTTAGAAATAGAGTTCTGGCCTTTTTTAAAACAAGGATTTATTTATTTATTTTTTTACAAGAAAGAAATATAATACTGGGCAACAAAATTTATTTTTATGAAGAGGAGCTAAGCTGGGGTTTTTTGACACCAGTGTATTTTCTTTCTTGCTCTTTTCTTCCCCTTGCTGATGACAGAAATTAAGGACCCAGCTTCATTCCACCAAGACGGGGAAAACTTGAATCAACTCATCAAGTTGTTTGTTCTTAATTGATAGCAGACATCTAAAGCCTGGTCAGTCTTCATCAGTGTTCCTTTTAGGAAAGGAAAGGAGTTGTGCCCTGCATGCCCTTTCCCAGCAACTTGGCGGAATCATGGCTACACCACAGATTATCGGAGAGGGGCTGGCCTCGAGGCTGCTTGAGTCTTAGGCCTTCCAAAAATACATTTCTCACTAAGAAAAATTGAAAGAGCTCTTTTTCCTGTGATTACAATATATGATTTATGTGATTAGAAAATTTCTGTTTTCTGTTGATATGCAAATTCACTGCCAGCAATACCAAATATTCACATGCCACCTGTTTCTAATTCTAGCAGAACCTATAATCAGAATGAGTAAAAATACCTTACCTTTTAAAAATCAGAAAGGGAATTCAAATGTATTGAATCTGTGTCGCCTTCCAGATCGTATTAAATTCAGGGAGTACATTCATGCCAAGGGGTTGATTGCCAATTGGAGCTGTTTGTACAGAGCCATGAGCTGGGGGAAGGATGTACTAGAGAAGCCCCCGGAGCTGCCTGGGGTCTTTGTGGGTTCTGGCATCTCCAAAGTGACACTTCATTCTAGATTGTGTTAACTTCTAAATATATTGTTTTGTTTCGTTTTTGAAATGGTTGTTTCTAACCTCCTATAGTAAAAACATCTGGTCAATCAAAACCAGGACAAGGGTGTCCATTGTCCAGTGTGTCCTTCTGCCCTGTTTTCTAGTTCTCTTCTATGCTGGGATGAGACTTAGCAAACATAACCATAGCATTTTCTAGGGGCAGTGATCCCTTTTGTCTGGCTACCTTCTCTTTAGTTTTTGACAAGACAGGTGAGTGGAGGTGCACCTATGGCGTATGTGTCGTTTTTCTTTCAAGACAAAAGATGTTAATGTATGACTTTTTTTTTTCTAAGCTGAAAAACCTCCATGTTCAGGCCAACTCATGGTGTTGGCATTTTGTGATAAGTGGCTGGGCTTGGTTTGCAGTTTGGCACTCAGCCCAAGTGGTTCCCCGTTGCTAACATAGACGGTTAGGCTTCGTAGCAGGCTGACTTCAGAACTCATTCTTTGAAGGCCCGGGCAGTGGAAGGTGTGGCTGTGATGGAAAGGATTTTGCTGATCTCTCCACTTCCTGATCTTCCTCGCTTCACCCCGGTGAGCTCTTTGGTGGCAGGACACTGCAAAATGTCAATAGATCTGGGTGTGGAGAAGAATGAAGAGGAAAAGGGATAAAGTAAAGTACGCAGAGCAGAGGGACAGTTCTGTCCATAGTCATACCATGTACATAGGCCCTGAGAAACAGGTACTGAAGTGGTAGGGCAGGGTTGTCCCTTTGTTCCTAATTAAGTGTATTTTTCCTTAAGAAAGAGTAGTAAGTGCTCTCTTTGTCTCTCTCTGTCTCTGTCTCTCTGTGTTTGTGTCTGTGTTTGTCTGTCTGTCTGTCTCTCTCTGTCTCTATCTCTGTCTCTGTCTCTCTCTCTGTGTCTGTATGTCTCTGTCTCTCTGTCCCTGTCCCTGTCTCTCTCTGTCTGTCTCTGTCTGTCTGTCTGTCTGTCTCTCTCTCTCTCTCTCTCTCTCTCTCTCTCTCTCTCTCTCTCGTTGATACAGGGTCTCACTATGCAGTTCAGATGCCTAGTGATCCTTGTGCCTCAGCCTCCCCAGCACTGGGATTACAAGTATGCACCATCACACCCGGTTTTGGGGCTGTCGTGGCATGGGGTACCAGGGATCTAGCTCCAGACCTTGCTCTTGCCAGGCAGGTGTTTATGCAGCTGAGATATCTCCCCAGCCCAACAGTGTTCACTTTTACTGAGGTTCACCCAACTGAAATTAGTAGGCTTTGCTTTGACAGTAAAGGTTATGGTGGATCAATTTCCATTTTTGCTGCCCACCATTCTTATTGATATTCTGCTAAAGACATCAAAGCTCACAAGCAAAATATGTGTCCGATGACTGGGGCTTGGAATTGAATCTCAGCAGCGTCTGAGTACTTATTCCTCTTAATTTTTGAGATGATTAGGGTTTGTGCTACTTTTGAACTGAAGTGAGACAAAGGAGAGGGGGTTTTTTGGGTCATATTTATGTATTTATTGGTTCAAGAGGCCAAAGACAGTGTTGCTGTCTAGTTCCTTATGATTTCTCTTGTTCAGCATCATCTAGATGTATGGTCTCTTTAATCTAAACACACTGATAATTCCTTTCTTTGTAATGTAGGAACTACATAATACATTTTTTAAAAAATTCAGTTTCTTGACGTTGAGCTCACTCATGTCACTGTACATCCATAACCACAGTTCATCCTTAGAATGTTTTTATCTTCACCCACTGAAACCCCACAAACCCCTTTTTTGGTACCAGGGATTGAACTCAGGACCTTGCACTTGCTAGGGAAGCACGTATTTCACTGAGCTGGCCCCTAACCCTGCCCCTTTGAAACTCTTCTTTTCACGTCTCCTGCAAGCCCTGGCACCTGCCATCCTACATTTTTTTTTTTTTTTTTTAGCAGAACTGGGGATTGAACTCAGGCCCT